TATGGAAATTAAAAATATTTACTTCTTCAATACATATGCATTTAAATAAACACATGGAGCATAAACTGAAAAGAATGACAGTGTGCTATAAACCAACGGTTATGATCTTCACAATTCTAAATATTTGAGGTGAAAAAGAATTAGTAAACTAAGGAAACTTAAGTCCCGCAGGTATTGATTTTAAGTCAACTGAAGAATGCAGGTCTTCATTTTCAGACATACCTAATTTATCACACTCCTTTCCCCTGAGAAGCTCCAAAAGTCATCTTTAAGCTGGCAATCTGTTCTAGTGTTTACATATTTTAAGCACGATCTCACTTCAATTGTTTCCTGATTTTTGATTATGGAAAATAACTATGATAATTCTGAGATGTGATGACCTATAAATTTAATTATTCCACTTGCTTTAAGAGCATTTCAGATATGTAAGTAAATGTGCACTTCTATGTTTATATGGATACACAGACCTCATTCTTCATAAACACTAGAAAGGTCTGACAGCATCTGTAGGGATATAAAAAATGTTAGAATCATGAATTACATACAATTTCAAAGAAAAATATAAATTAAATGCTGATATAGTGCTGGAAAGGAAAAAATGAGTATTAAAATATTTATGAGAAGTACCTATAGGAAGCCTGTTTGCTGTTACTGTCTGAAGTTAATTTCTTTCAAAATTTCCCTTGTTACATTCTTTAAAAAATTTCAGTTTATGAGAAATTAAGGACAGTGACTATATAAAGAAGTCCTCCACAGTTCAACAGAACGGCTAGAACATCCTCAGCACTTCACTGAAAACATTAAATTTGTATTTTGCTAAATCCTAGGGCCCTTTCTGCCTCACCTAAACCTTTCAGCAGTATCCAGTTGATCACTTTCTTAAAATAATGGTTTTCCCCAATTTCTGAAGGTGCCTGTGCACCCTCTTATCACCCAAAAACAGCATAAAAGCAAAATACTAATTTACCTGAAAACTCCCCAGAGGAGTTTGGGTGTGCTCTGCTCTACAATGGCTTGCTGAAAAAGCAATGCCAATAACCCTTTGAATTTCAGTTAGGGAAAGCAGTCATTCACATACATCTTTCAAAAAGCTAAGTGGTATAATTCCAACTTCTGAAAAGCAGCAGGTAACTGTAATTTATGTGATACTACTGTACATTTCAAAGTTTATATTACGTTTTCTTTTGCTAGTTATGCCTTTTTGCAAAAATATGTTTTCCCATTTCATTTAATACTCCTACTACCAGTTGCTTAACAAGAAACCTAGGAGCCAGCCTTGTTGTCTCTTTTCTTTGCAACCCATATTTCTATACCTAACGTAACTCCGCTGTCCTATATTCTGTGAACTTCTTTACAAACCCTACTCTAATATCTCCTCTCATCCTTCTTCCTGAAATGGGCTCCTATTGTTCTCCCTGGTCACAGTATTACCCCCATGTAATCATTTCTCCACACAATAGCCAGAATCACTTTTGAAATGGTTGTATGAAACTTTTTAGTTTTCCATTGTATCTAGAATCAAATCTCAACTATCTTGAGAGATAAGACTGGTCATTTACTTAAAGGTGGTCTTTGACCACTTCCAAACTTAACATGACATTTGGTTAAATTTGATGTACTCATCCCACCTTCCCTGACCTGAGATCAGCTTGGACTGTTCTAATTTGCCAGCTTCTTCTCTTCATTCATGTGAAATCAACTTTGAAATGCTCAGATCCCTTTTATCTTCATTTGATATTTTTTTTTCTTGAAATGCAAAATGCTTGATTCTTCCCGTAGAATCAATCTCTTTGAGATGGGGATAATTTGTCCCTTACATGGTTATCGTTTAAGTGAGACCACAGTATCTAGCCCATACTGGGAGCACAGTAAGTTAAACAAACTGATGAAGTGGTTATAGAAAGGATATGTTCCTCTTTTGTAGCACTTTAAGTGAAGGTTACAGTGAGAAAAGGGAAAGACCACATTTTAAATGCCAACTTTATCCTACCCAAAAGTGTTATCAGTTTACAAACTGTATTTGTCATACAAATCTTAACAAGTCCTAAATACATAACACTTCTTCATCTGAAGGCCACTGAGAGACCAATACAACAAAACTGGAAAAAGTTTTCTATAAAGGATACATTTCCATTCACTAAACTTGAATTGGGACCATAAAAACAAGCACAACAGGTTAGAAACACAACTGAAATATTAGGTGTATATTGTTTATGTTGTTCCTTGCTAACACAATCAACATCAACTACCACTGAAGTTTGAAATGTTGCTGAAATAGGAAGTAGCTAATTAGCCTTACTCCTTTTCTATTCCCACAATTTGGAAGAGCAAAGGATTTGTATTATGTAAAATGACATTGTCTTTATATATTTAGATTGGAACTCTGACATAAACAGTCTGTTCTCATGTACTTTGAGATGAGGTTGGCCAGTCCCACTAGGTTGCAGGTTTTACTTCTGAAGAGTATTATGCATGGATAAATCAACACTCTCTGAGATGTTACAGCCATCAAAGGTTCATTTTCAAGCACAACAGGGATCTAGGAGCATCTATTTCCCCCTCTACTTCCACTCTTAATTTTCTGCTTAGAAAAGTTTAATTTTACACTAAAGTAATTCTTGAGACATGTTTGTTCCATGAATTTTCCCAGGCCAGCTCATTAAACAGGTCCAGGAGAGGCCAACTCCTTCATGAATACTTCAAAGAGTAACAAGAAAGGTAATCTTAAAAAAGGAAAATATTTAAACCCTGATTTTCAAGCCAAGTGAACAAGATTTTCAGTAGCTTTATGAGAAACATTCCTAAAACACTCAGTAGTTAAAATAATGTGTATGTGTGTGTATGCTACATATGCATGCATACATAGCTACTTTATTGCTTGAAGTCACTGTGCAGGTCATGTACTTATACTAATATTTACACAGCAAATATTCAAGAGTTAGATTATGCAATTTTAATTAGTTAAAAATGTGTACTTCACCTCTCAAATCTCAAGTATTAATTTACGAGAATTCCAACTCCAGTAGATATCCTCTGCTAGTCACCTATTTCTTAACCACTTTCTTACTGAGAGTTCAAGGAAAAAAAAATTTTAAATGGCATTTTATGGGGAAAACATTGAGAAAACTCACAATGTAACATGTTTCAAGTTCAAGCAATTTTTTTCCCTTATGCTCCATTTTTGATAGACATATAATCAAAAATTTAATTAGCCTGTTATTCTGATGCATAAAAATTCAAAGCTATAGGGAGCAGGCAAACCAAAACTATAGGGAGTAGACAACCAAACACTTGAACAAAACATGTTAACAGGCTAATATATATAACATGCAAAAAATTTCAATAGTTTCATGGGATCTTAAACTAGGTCATTTTTTTCTGACTTAAATATGGCATTTTAGAATTTTTAAAAAATCAGTCTAACTCCTCTAGATTATATAAATGCAGACACCACCTCCCATCTGGAATTTAGTTTTAAGTTTTTATCGTTACATTGGCAATTCTTTCCATGGCATATGCCCAAGTCAGGAATAAGTGATGAACCAAGGTGAGAACTTCACACTCCACTTACATGTTCATACATACAGGGTAGTACTTACTGGTCAGCCATTCTTGTTGATATGTAAACTGAGATTTGAAATTTTGAATCCTGATTAAATCATGATCAAAAGGAAACAAAGTTGACCCAAAGGTAGCACAGTAGTTGAGAAATTATTTTCTTGCCTATCACAGGATTTCAAGGTACAGTTGGCTTCTAATCTTTGATGCCATGATTTAGTTCTAGTAAGCTTTAAATAACATGACACTAAAGCAGCAAAAAATTACAGCATCACACACTGGTTTCTTCTGGGACATTACTTAAACAAATTTAAAGACCCAAAAGCAATTAAGTGCTACTAAATTTTAGTGTCTTGAGAAACAGCTGAGATTGACAGTTGTTCTAATTTGTGATGTCCAGTAAATTAAAATATAAGTCTTCCAAATGGCATTACTATTTAACTTGAAATTCCAAAAGTAAAGCCTTTTTCATATTTTGAATGATTAAAAGAGGAGTACACAAAGCACTTGAAACACTGGTTAATCCATGCAACTAAGGACATAACTAAAAGATACATAGTAAAATTGAATAATCTAAATTAAAAGAGAATCTCCCATATGCTCACATTGAAAAAGCTCAAATCTGTGTATCTGCCAAGTAAGTTCTAAAAAATTTATTCCTACTTGTAATTGTACCCAAACAATTATAGGATGCTACTTGGGTCAAGAAGATGGGGGGTGGAAGAAGGGTGGGGAGGAGAACACAATGTCAAGACACTAAAAACAAGCAAAACTTCCACAGGAAAAGTTTGCCCTAAACTCCCAGATATTTATTCTTTAATAATTAAAGATCAATTCCTTGTTATCAACTGTATCTCAAAAAAAAAAAAAAGCAAAAAGCAAAATCTGGTATGTGATCTCAATTAAAAATGTTTATCTTTCAAGATATTATAAATCCCATATAAAATGAAAATCTTAGCTTTTTCCAGTTTTATATGCTCAAATTTCACTTTAAAAGTGAATCACATAAAACTTTTTTAGGTGAATTTAAGAAGTACTAAATAGTAATAATACCATTGCTCACAGGCAAATACCAGCTTCTCCTATGTATTAAGCTGACTAATCATAGGCTGTTTAGATAACCTCGCATCCACCTCTGCAGTAAAAGGAGTATACTTACCTGTGTTTACTGGCTATAAACAGTATTGATTAAAGAAGAAAACAAAAATTTCACCACACAAATACCTTAAATATTAAAAAGATAGTTTTCAGTGTAACAAGCTGATGTCTTAACAAAAGGTACAATAATGCCTACAGTAGAGCCCAGTTAGCTGCTACTAAAACTGTATCTGCAAAGTGAAATCATTAAAAGATGTATTATAAACTTTCAGTTAAAAGGAACTAATTTAATGAAATCAATACTTAATACATATATATATTACTTTTTAAAAAGTTGTATTACATTAAGATATGGAGAAAAACTAAACCACTTTAAAATTAATATAACAGCTGTAACAAGTAATGGAACCTCAGTATCTATTTGTGGCAGTCAACGTGCTGTGGAGTGAGCCTATACAAGTTCAGAGATTAAAAACAAAAACAAAAAAAACCCAGACAATCACATTACAATATGATACATTTTACTATAAATATAGCTTTCACTTCAAAGATTTACTTAGCAAATTAAATGTTAATTTGCCATTTTTTTACTTCCTTTGCTTTTATTACTTCCTTTTCTTAAATTGAAGTAATTTCTAAGATTTCAACTTTATAGAATTTGCTGCACAAAAATAAACCAAATATGTGTTTAAAGGGGAAAAAACGGTTTTAAACTGACTTTCAAGATACAACAAAAACCTGTATTCTAGATAAATATGGCAAATGACTTTCCAAAAAATCAGAATGATGTCTAGGGAATATTAAACAAAGCCAATGTGAAATATAGAAAGATTATGGCATACTTTTGACGTATTCTTAGCCCGGTTTCTGAAAGAATAACAAGCATGCTTTCCCTTTAAAAACAGGAAGCAGCACTACTACCAGCAGCAAAGCTATCACAGAACCAGGCATAGTAAGATGGAGGGTAAGGGTTAAATCAATCATTCAAACCCCTTGAATTTAATTACATCCATTCAGTTTAGCAGGGCTGTCAACTTCTTTCCAGTTATCAAATGCATAAATATTTGAGTACAGGCACAGAAACTTGTCATTTTTATTTGGGTAACAAAAGGTGTCCAAATTATAAAGTAAATCCTAGTTATTATTACTCCTGTAAAAAAAAAATTAGCACACTTGTCACAAATGATTTATGTAAAAGAGAAGAAAATACACATAATTTTATAATATCTTAAACTTTTTTATTCCCTACTGGAGACATTATTTTGTCTTTCGTTTTCTTTCAATTTTCTACAATTTCCAACTTGTACCTGTATTTAATACTGCTTTAATCTGCTAAAGACAATAACTGACTGCTCTCCTAAATCTAAGGATTATATAGTTTTAGTATAAATATATAGCACATATTTTCGTAAAATTTTGACAAAACCGAATAAGCATGCCTTGTTTTAAGTCCATGCTCCTTCTACTGTTTATAAAATCTGATTTAGTGATCAAAAATTCTTGGTTATCATTCTTCAGTTACAACAGTCTTCCTTCTGAACTGCCACTTACTTTTTATACAGTAACAAGCGATAGAAAAAGAAATTACCTTAATCTTAGTTCTTTCCTTTGACACTATAAAATAATGTGAGCTTTTTTTTTCTTAAATGAAACAAATACATCCAAAACGCAATACATTCAAATGAGCTGTGTTTCCCTTAAGGTGATCACCTTGGAAAGCTACCACAGTTCATTCTCTTAACTATGCTACAACTGCTCAAAATACCTTCTGATTGCCTTCAAAGCCTGTTGCATACTTTGTATTATTACCTCAAAGACAGGTATAATTTTTGGAAATTATCAAAGTCATTAAGTGCTAAATAGTGGTAGATATAAATCAATCAAGCTTGGTAATATCTTCATTTTTTAAAGAATGTGATGTCAATCACAAAGTTAGTAGTGTTTGTGACCCAAATTAGCTCTGAATGCAATTCTAAAAAAGCATTGAAAAAAAAGTTTTGAGCAGTGGTAGGTTGCTGGAATTGGGAAATAATCTTCCAGCATGATTACTATGCAGGGTAACATTCATTTAGCTGTCTATGTTCTGGCATATTTGCTTAAAGTGAACAATCTTAGACCTAAAATTTATTCTTTTAAAAAGGAATCATTCTTAGAAAAATGTTTTTTTATTCCTTTAAAGCATCACTGTCAAAGTAAGCACTACGCAAGTGTTAAACTAGTTCCCCTTACTGTATCAATAAAGACTACTTTTACAGACTCGAAAGCAAATAATAAACTCATTTGCCCCCAAGCTTTTAAAATCATTAACTAGCAATAAAATAATTTTAAATTTCTAAGGTACTAAAAAACAAAAAAACCAAAATCCCAAATGCAATAAAAAAAACACGTCAAGAACCAAACTAGAATTTCTGAGCTGCACTGTTTATTTTGCTGCTTGAAACCTAAGTGACAGTATGCCACTATAGTTATGGGGTTTCATCTAAACCTTTACTACACTGCAGGTACAGAAATATACGGACACATTTTTGGAGAATTGACATTTTGCAAAATGCAGCAAACATTTTAATTTATACATGAGAAAAGGAAGTGTTCAAAAGGGTATGCATTTCAAGTTATTGCAGGTTATTTGTGAGAGAATTTCTGCAGGTAAAACATGTTTAAATTTAACCAACAGTAGCGTGTCAGTGTTATTTAAAATCATGACAAAAATCTTCTCTCTGGTCATGTTGCCCATGACAAATTACTATGATGTTGTATGTTTAGGGCAAGATGTCAATACAGCATAAATCCCATGGCATTTTGGTTTTCTTCTGGAGATTAAAGCTGTTTTTCTTGGGATAAATGCAGCAGCAAAACACAAACCAGTTGATCAAAAAAAGCACTTCTGCCATAACGCCAATAATTTTCAGGACACATCAACCGACAGTAGTTTTGCCATTCCCAGTTCTTTTAAGAATTCTATCTCTGCACTGTTGCTTTAAGTATGTCTGTAAAAGCATGTTCTCTGTTAAGCCAGTTTACTGACTACAGCCTGGTTGAGAGAATTTAGTTGGTTGGTCCATTTATCTAGTGCAGTATATCGGGCACCACCCCTCTTCTGATGATCCAGTTCAAGAAGTTGGTTGACTTGATCAATTCGGCCATGAATAGTGCTAGAAGTAAATATATAAAAGACATGTCAACAAATCACTTTCACTAAGCCTATTTCATGCACCATTTCATAAAATATTCATAGTATCAATAAATGCAAAAGAAAAAAACTGCTGCCTGCCTTCAAAGAGTGAGTTCAGCATTAATTGCAAAATTCATTGTATTAATCAAATTGGAGATAGAAACCAATGTTAGCTACGTTTCATTAATTTCAATGAAATAAGCAATGGGTAGACTTACCCAATTAATCAAGAGCAAATGATGTAATTTGTGAGGGTTTAAAAACATCTTTTATAAAAAAAAATACAAGCTCAAAACTTTGGATATCATCCTTATACTTAAAACACAGAAAAAATATAGTTTAGTAATTAATTCTCTGTATCTGGACTATATATTGAGAGATAAATATTTCTGAAAAATCATTTAAAACTTTTTCAGAATACAAGTGCTTAACATACTCATCCATTTATCAAAAACCATCTCTCTCTCTCTCTCTCTCTCTCACACACACACACACACACAAACACACACCTCTACATCTTTTAATAAAAAAGCATAGCCAGAGGGTACTTTAATGAAAATTCAAGAATTCAAATTGCTAACTTTGTTACCATTATTTATGGAACTAAATTATTTTGTGATAAAAAAATAGTCAAATACTTACTTATCCAATATGCACTGCACCAGTAAGCTCTCCACATCAGCTACATCTATGTTTAACTCCTAAGACAAAAGACTTATTATAATTCTACTAAGCAACTTTTAAAAGCTTTCATGATTTTATATAATTACTATTTTAGATTCACTCCTACCACTTAAAGGGTAAATATAGTTCAGATAAATCTTAAAGCAAATTTCATTATCACTTCAAAATATATCTGAGAATGTAAGTCTGATAAAATGTAACTGCAACTTTTATAACATATTCTTACCATAATTTTAATGTTATTGGAGTTAATCCTTTATCAATTAAATATTTTAGCCACTATTCTCTTGTCTACATTTTTCCTAGAGTCTAAAGGAATTTTTTAAAAGGAAATTTAATGATTCCTTATTGTTCTTTTCTATCAACTGAATTTATGCCAATACACACACAAAAAAATCACTTAAAAGCCCTGAAATTAAGCTGTATTTGAAGGATGCAGTTATTTCAAAACCGTACAAAGTTAGAATTACTGTTATAAATGGAAGATAGATCTACAAATTCCATGAATATAAATACCTTAGAAATAAAAGGAATATGTATTCTTGTGTAAGGCTTTATTAATTTTATGAGCACTTGTGTTCTGATGTTTCGCAAAAGCTCTGAAAGACATAAAATACATTTATTTGTATATAACAATTTGTATATCTTTAAGCATCAACACATCTAAATCATATTAACCATTTCATGTATCTTCTCATGTTGTGATACTAACTAAAATAACCTTTGGCTTTCTCAATAATATTCCACTCATCAGTTCCTCTTCAAGAAGCTGATTTTTACCAAGTTCCTCACTTTTATATTCTCTCTAAACCTTCAGTCTATTTATACAATGACTACATTTCCCCCAGTATCTTCATATATCATGAAAGTTTTTAGAGTATTAAAAACTTCTTTTAAAAACTAGACTGGGGGGTTCTCCCTGGTGGCGCAATGGGTTAAAGCACCACATTATGAAGCTCTCCAAAGCCACTGCAGCATGAGCTCGATTCCAGGCCAGAGAGCTGACCCACATGGTGTGGCAGACCTCTCCTGACCATCCCATGGTGCCCCTCAGCAGTGAACTTCGCTATTGGCCTGTTCTACTTCCCACTCTGTCTCTGGTGAATCCTCTCACTGTCGCTACACCTCTGACCTGTACTCCAGTTCTGTATGCATAAATAAATCTTTAAAAATAATAATTATATTGGAGTACTAGCACAAGGTTTCTACATTTTTCTATTTCTTTTCTTTTTTAAAAAAGAACTGCAGTATAAGCCAAAGGTGCAGGGGCAGTGAGAGGATTCACCAGAGACAGAGTGGGGAGCAGGACAGGCAGATCGATAAAGTACACTGCTGAGCGGAGCAGCAGGCGGGTCAGGAGAGGTCTGCTGTGGTGTGTGGGTCACCTCTGGGCTGGGGACCGAAATCACACTTTAGTGGCTGCAGCTACCTGTAGTGCAGTGCTTTAAATTGTGCTACCAGGGAGGGCCTCTACATTTTTCTATATTTGCAAAATGTAGTATTATTTTAGGCTCCTGTAAGAACTTTGAGTGGACCCTCCCTGGTGGCGCAAGGGATTAAGTCTCAGCACTACGAAACTATCTGCAGCCATAGCAGCATGAGTTGGATCCCTAGTCAGGGAACTAACCCATGTGGCGCAGCAGACCTCTCCTGTCTCGCCTGCTGCTCCCTTCAGCAGTGTACTTCAGTAACTTCAGTAGAACTGCCTGTTCTGCTCAATACTTTGCCTCTGGAGCATCCTCTCACCCTGCAATCCCCCTCCATCCCGATCCTGCACTCTCATTCTTGTAGATATAAATAAATAAATAAAAACTTTTATTATCTACTCATTGAATGAGAAGATGAAGTAGAGAACAAAGAACATTATTACTAAAGTATCAGGATTCTCAATGCATTGGGAGATTTACATATTTGAGTAAGTTATTCCAAAGGGAATTAAAAAAACCCTTAAATAGCTATGTAAGTGGGAACATGGAGATATGAGTGTCTCCAGGTCAAAAGGATGATTTTAGTTTTTGTTAATCCAAAAAATTTACTTAAAATCTTATATACTTGGTGTTATAGTAGCCTACACATTCCATAGTAAATGCATCTGATCATTACCCACAAGAGGATACATCAAAACATTTGTCAAAAAATGTCCTAAAAAATTAACTTTGAATTTAAATAATAACACACAGTAAAATCTAAATTTGAACTAAAAAGGACAGCCATCTCAAAACAAACATCATAAAAGAACTTGACTGTATCAGTAACATAAAACTGACCTGCGATTTCTTTTAAACAGCTTTATAATTTTAAGGAGTACCTATTTCATGGAAGCATTTAGTAACATTTGTATGTTTTGCAGTAAACAGAAAAAAAAAAACCCACCATAATCCCATGCAGCTCCAATAAGAACTGTCTGATAATGCCAAAGTAAGTAACAGAATTCAGTTAGCAGAAAGAACATACCCTCAATGTGTTCCCTAATGAAAGGATCATCCATGATGTTGCTGTGATTTGTCTTCAGAATCTTTTCAAATTCAGTGATGTCATTATTCTGATAGGCACTAAATAGAAAAAAGAAAAGCATAAATTTTGACAAACATGAGAAAATGTGTTAAAGTAGTTAATTCAAAGGGCTTGTTTCATTTTTCATATGCAAAGACCTAAATTATACTACAGTTTTTGTCATGGAAATCAGTTAAATACAAACATCCCTTCTGCAAATTTATTGTTTTAATGCTTCTGGGGTTACATACTTTATTTACATTCAGTCATTAAAATCTTCAATAGATCTTAGCATTTTTAAAAAGCTGACGATAATTTTAGTAACAGTTTAATGCTTGATGTTTTCTAATTAAATCATGTATTTAATTCCAAGAAACCAGCTTTCATATACCTATTTTATGGAAGTTTGGCCTTGTCTTTCAAATAAGACTGTATATCCTCTCTTAAGATTATTCAGAAATGCAGCTTCTTAATTTTTATCTTCTAGAAAGCTACCAGCATATGCCAAAACTTTTCAAAGACAATATTTAATTCTCAATTCTCTAGTGTCAAAGTCTCACCAAGCTACAGATAGCTACAGAAACATCAGTGGTGAATAATTAGTGCCAAATAGGACACACAAAGTAGAAACGATGGACCCTGATGCAGAAGGCCAAAGGCTGATATATATGTTCATGATCCTCTGAGGTGTCTAGTATCTACTCTTGAAATAAATTTTGTAAGACACTATAAGGATTTCTAAAGGTGCTGAGAAGGAAGAAGCCAACCTTCTGGATATGGCACCACTGTCTGCTTTATATGTAAGACATATCATCAGCCATTCTGCACGCCCTCTGCTGTGCTTCCATCTGTTGGGTCGCAATGTAACTTCATGTTAGGGGCAGGTGATTCAAGTGCTTCAACAGGAATTATTTTCCTCTAGTCTGCTGGCAACTGACTAGGAAGATAAAATTAGGAAGCATTACTTTCTTACCTTATCCCAAATATATTATTGTAATATACTATAGGAAGACATACTTAAGTAATTAAAACACTTGCATACATGTATATTCCAAGAAACATTATTTCTGTGGTATTTGGGTCAAAATTTATCATTTTAAGTTTCTGAGTTCTAATAAAGAGGCTTTAGTGGAATAAATTGTCAGATATAATAACTATATGATTAGAACTATTCTTTTTAAGGTCTAACAAATCAGTCTTTAATCTAATTTAATATATTCAAACAACTTAATTTAGCTAAAATATTAGTATCTAGTCCAAAACTTTCCTTAATATTTACGAATTTTAAACTATAATTTAATTTTATAAACTACTGTCAAAAAGCACCATGAAGTTATTAGTCTCTCACAAAAGCAACTTTTAATGTGGCCAAATGTAAACAGAATCATGAGATAAAGATGGAAAAGTCACCTTTCATAACTGAATCAATTTATTTTAACATTAGCCAAAAAAGTGAAAGCTGTCAGATGTTTTCACTTATCTGTGGAATATAAATACCCAAAAACAATAATAGGCATATAAGAGAAGAAACAAAAATTTGAATTTGGCAAAAAGATGATCATGATCACCACAATGAATAGGGAAAAGGATGGAGGGGGTGAGTGAGGGAGGCAGAGAGGTTATGCGCACAGGTGGCCTGGTGGAGGGGAAAAAGAAAAAGTAATTCAATAAATATATATGAAAATAGAGTAAAGAATTAAACAAAATATTGATTATTTTAATGTGGCAATTTAGGGTTTTTACCCAACCATTTACTAAAATTTGTTAAGCTAAAATTAAGGCTTCCTTAAAAAGGTTTTTACTTAGTAACTTAAGTTACAGACAAAAACCAAGCAAATGAGGATACTTTACATAGGAACTTAATGTCATTAAATAAGCTATTTTCTACAATTATGAATTTATGTGTAAGTCAAAATTCATCATCTAACAGTACTTTTCTAAATGAAGAAAGACTATTAAGAGGCAGTCTGTTCATCTAAATTATCTACAAGTATATGCAGTAAAAAAAAAAAAGCCTATGCTTTGTCCTTATCTATACTCTTACTGTCTTGATAAACTCAGCTCTACAACCTAAAACAAAAGGACTTAAAAGAGTCCTGGCAAATATTCATTGCTTTCTAGAAAGAATGTCTTAAAATCTGGGCTTGCTTTATTTCTGGTACAGGGAAAATTTTTTCTTACTCAGATTCCACCCCCCCCCAAAACAAAGCTTATTTTCTAGGTTTTATCTGCTATAATTTTAGTTATTAAGTGGCACGTTTTTAGATGCTAACCATCATTAGTCGTATCTTTCACCCTTGAAGCCACCAACAGATCCTTAGGTTTCTTACCATTATGACCCCTCTGGCTACTCACCTCAGATAATTGACCTGAGGTAAACATGTTTCAGGTTATTACTTTAGCTTGTCATTCCAGAAAATAAAGAAATATGTTCACGCAATATTTCACACAGAAAATTCTTTACTTAGGCAGACCAACTTATACTCTCAGTCTGGAACAATGCAGGTAGAAACAGTAATCACTGTGTAATTGTTTTTAAACATCTACAATTAGTTTTCTACTGAAAAAAGGTGCAGACACATACAAATTTGAGAATTATAAGGGAAAAAAAGCAGCACACATAAAATCTTGTGACTAACAGAATTAGTATAAGAAATAACTTCAGAAGATAAAAATCTCACAAGTTGGTATATTTCAAACCAAAATAAAAAAAAAGAGCAAATGTTGAACATAACTGAATTCTGAAAACTTTTTTCTTTCTTTTTAAAAATGCTTTAGAGAAATTTTCCTTAACTGAAATACAAAATCTTACCTTACTAAATTTGTCATTGCTAGAATTTCTGGATCATTTTTGTATGGTTTGGCCTAAACACAGTAAAAGAAAAAAAATTAACTATGATATGTACGAAGGAAAGTAATACATTTCTACAAAGAACAGCTAACAGAAATTATTAGAGCACACACGTACCTCCTGTGAGTCAAAAGGATTTATTCCCGACTTCATTAGCATATTTGCTAAGACTAAATATTTTAAGCAAGTGGTTCGTCTTGGACTTCCCGACTCGTCATAATTCTTGAAGGCCTCAAAAAAATCAGTGTGTGCCTTTTCAAATTCACCTTCTCTCAAGTGCATTTTACCACCACATTCTGTAAAGAGTTATAAACACAAGAAGACATTTTCAGTTCTGTAATAACAAGAATGACCATTTTATAAAAGCCAAACAAAAACTATTTAAGTGGTTTTCAGCCTTTAATGCTATAACCCGAATAGTTCTAGGCCCTAGGTAAGCTTTCTAAATAGTAACTCTTCACTTAATAACTGCTAATAAAGCACTTACAAAAATTTAGTCTCAATTAAAAAATAGAGTTGAAGATGAATTTTCTACAAATATCTTTCTTCATTGATGTAAGTTTTACAACACTAAATATTCATTTTAATTTCTAAGACTAGATTATTTCAGACTTCACTACCACTTTTCATGAAAACAGACATAATCTTCACAGTCATTCAGTCACATATAAAGACAACTTCGTATCTCTCCACATCACTGGCCCACCCTATTCAAACCAAACTTGCCTCTGATGACTCCCATGATGAGTGGATGAGGGATGGCAGACTTGATGTGAAGTGACTGCTCATAGAGTGCTTTAAGCTTTTTGTTATTTTTCTGTGCTGTGTACATCTGAATTTCCAAAGCATATATTTCTAATAACTGTGTACCTTTTTTCAGGTCATCTTCTCCATCATCGGTCTAGGAAAGCAAATAATAAACTTTAGTCAAGAGAAAATTCAGGCAACCTAGTAATTTTTTAGTTGAGTTAGCCTAAGAAGCTTACATTTAAATTACCAGTTGTGTTTAAAAATGCCTAAAATTTTAATAGGGAACTCTAGCACACTAACATTTCCTTTAAAGGACAAAAACAAACCCACATATTCTATATACTGTGTCACTGGCTAAAGAAAAAGTGGCCTGGGGTTATTTTTTCTTTATTTTTAAAAGGTTGCAATATTAGTTCTTATCTGGTAGGTTATCTATAGCCTTCCCCAAATATTCATAACCACTTTAGATCCACTAATTTAATCAAAAAGCACTTTCTGCATGCCTTGTGTCCATGTATCTCAGAGAAGTACAAAGTTGAATAAGCCAAGGTAACTGGCCTCAAAGTTCACAATCTAGTAGAATAATATTCAGTCAACAGAAAAGTTATAAAGTTAAGGGTAATGATTCTAGTTAAAGCATTAATCAATTATCTAGGAAAATGAAGAGAATGATTTCCTGGGTAATGTCAAAGGAATAAAAAAGATAGTGATATGAATCTGACTTTGAAAGAGGATCAATATTTTAATTAAAATTCAGTTATTTTAATTTAAGATATTCAGACGATCCTAAATATCAAATATCGACATACTATAAAGTCATTATCATTTATTTGGTCTTCCAACTTAAAACTTCTAGTTATTCACTAGTAAATTACAACCAGAGTAAAATTCTAATATCCAAGATTACCCTAGCTCTGCTATATTATGTTATTTATAATCTATATGGCATTTTCCTTGGTAACCTAAAAAAAAAAAGATTTTCTAGAGGGCTTTTTGTATTCCTTACGTACACACCGAAACTCTCACTCAGAAATGGCTTCTCTGTCACTTTTGTTTCATATGCAACTGAATCCACTGTTGTTTAAGTTTTCCTAAGAATGTAGCTAAGAAGCCATTTACAGATGACTGAGCTGCTTTATAAAGCAAACCTATTATGAAATATAAATTTTCCTATTAAAAAAAGGGAAAAATATCAAATGAAGATATCTGTAGGTTATCTTGAACACTTTCCTAATCAATTTTTTCCCCTATTCACAGAAATATGACATTAAAAGAGCTTAACTAGTGTAAAACATCATTCTACACAAAATTTAAACCAATCATCAAATGACTTATTTTATACTGTACTGTCCAAACCATGCAGCTATTCAAATTGAAGTTAAGTAAAATTTATAACTCAGAACCTCTGTCACACCAGTGACATTTCAAATGTTTGATGACATATATATATAGCTGGTGCGATCATCCTGGATAACATAGATACAGAATGCTTCCAGCATTACATGAGTTTCTTCTAGACAGTGCTGTTACAAAGGATTCACACCTTATAAACTATAATACATCTTTATTACCTATGTCTGCAATTATCTTTTTCTGAACTTCACAGGGTATATAACTTAAGTATGGAAGACTTTATTTTTGGGATAATGTATTAACAGAAACATACCTAAGCAATGGTTCAAACACATTTTTCTTATGCTTTACTATAAAGAAAATTAAGAAAAAGTAAGAGAATACTACCTGGCAGGACTGATGTAACTGGCGTAAAATTTTTTGAAGCTTTCCATATTCCTCTCGTTCTAAATATAATTTCCCAAGCTGCAAAAAAAAAAAATTTAACTTTAAAAGATTTCAACAGGAGGAAGTGTGTACATGATTAGGAGAGTTTATTAAGGACACCCTCCCACTCTTCAAAAGACAAAAATGTTAATTACAATTGTTACCTTTGTGTTTGTCTTAAACCACAGTCTATCATTCTTAGCATCTTTCAAAGCTTCCAGTGTTGTTTCATAGAATTCCTGCAGTAAGTCCATCTGACATAAAAAATCAGAATTCTATAATTGTAAACAGCAAATTTGTACCTGTTAATAAAGTTAATTTGAGCAAACTAAAACTGCATCTTTGAACTTTAATATATAAAAGATACACTATCTGTATCTTCTTGAATTTCTGTGACAGCCCACAGAATTAACAAAAGCTTAGCAAAATATAGACCAAATTTACAAAAAGTTTAAGTGTCAAGATTTTTCTGTGAGTTTTTAAATAACACACAGAAAATACCTATTGCTCTCACAGTGTAAGGTTATCCTTTACAATCTAATAACTCATTTTCTATAAACAAAAGTAATAATGTACACTATTAATGCACATTAATAATGTATATCATCTTCATTCCATTTTTAAGGTACTAATTATGTGGCAAACACTAACCAATCTGTTAAAGTTGAATAACTTTTCCCCTCAAAATTCTATGAATTTGACTAACCAATTAACCCAGCTACCTAACTTTTATGTAACTAGGCAATTGTTGCAGGTGGATGGAAGAAAAAGCTGAGTACAATTTTAAGTGTGTCTAACATTAACATTCATCAATTTACTGATCTAACTGTGGAATTTTTTGTGGAAATTATTATTTAAGTATGAGAGGCTCCCAAGCCCACATCTGCCACCAACTATTTCTGGCTGTTTTTGTTTGAATACCTGATTCCTTAGCTCCATGTCTAACAAAATCAAGGGATAAGAGGATCAAGAGAACAAGAAAGCTTGATACTTTCAGTAAAAGGTATGATTTACTACTGATCACTGAAGTTGGAATATTGAGGAAGTCGAATGCCACTGACCCAATATCTCTTTTTATTTTCAAAAGATAAAAAGCTTACATATAATAGCATGCAACAAAATGTACTCTTGAAGTTTTAAAGTTACTTGAAAATTTAAATATCTGGCATAACACATAGCATACCAAAATTTTTTGATGACACACTTTATAAGTCAGAAAACATTTTTCCACTTAACGACCCTAGAATTAGACTATTAGTGCTAATGTTCTAGCAAAACATGTTTATCTCCCTTGATTTCCATTATATATATTTTAGATATGGAGTATAAAACCCCCCAAAATCAAAATGATTTACTAAAAATGACAGAATGAAAGAGACTGATTTGGAGATGAAGATTTTTATTAAAGTATAAAAATACCAAATGTTCTAAGAAATGCTAAGACAGAGAACAATGTTTATGAGCAAATATACAAGAAAAGTGAAGTTTAGGATTACGTTGCTTAAAAGAATATGAACAACACATTTAAAAATTATATGCAATAAATAATTACTGTTCTTAATAACTACAGCCTAGGTAAATGAGCATAGCACCTCCAGAACCTACTACAATTTCCTCATCATTAAAATACTTCCTTTCCTCTATTCATCTTTTATAGAAGCATTTACTGAACTCCTAATGAACACCCAATTTATGTATCTATAGACTCTCCCCTCAAGGATCTTTTAACTAACAAATCTATACAAATCACCTGTGATTCACTGTTCAGAATTTAACAGATAAGAGTAGTTAGTTAAACCAGTGGAGTTTATTAGAAAGAACTGTTATATACAATACACAGGAGTTTAATATAAACCTGCAAAAACTGTGCATAGATTAATTCAGTATCTAAAGATACTAAAGAGATTAAGTTATACTTAAATTTCATTATCACATAATTTAGTGGCATAAAAAAGAAGACAGAAGACATTATTTTCAAAGCACAATTATAACCAGAAGAATAACTTCTTAAATAGACACTCTAAGCCTTAAGAAAAAAAAAAAAAAAGAACAACCCTTTAAGATAATCAACAATGATAAGTAACACGAAGAAAAAAAAAAATAACCTAATCTAACCTGTTTAGAAGTGGAGATATAATCAAGAATAGAATTAATGGATTTTTCAGAATAATTTCTTGTGACTGCACTCCGGATATAGGTCAATAGTTGTTTATATCTGTTCATCATTTCTGGAAAGTTTGTCTGAGAGGGAAGAAAAGTGAATTATTACATTCATTTATGCATCAAAACATGTACATATGTACATTTACTACATAATTGAAAAATAGTTTTATAATAGAAAACCAGCATCTGAAGGAAACATTGAACAACTAATTAAATTTGAAGTGATTATATAAATCAGACTAAATTTATAAAGTTAGCCTATAAGAAGAAAAGATACAACTTCCATATCCTCCAATTTTCAGATATTCCTCACTGTACAATAAACACATTCATTTAAATCATAAGTACTAAAATATTATTAGGCAAGATGATTGGTTTATGAGTAGTAAATAAATCCATTTTTTAAAATGCCTTGGGTGTGTGTCAACTATGCATATATTAGCTCTATCTTCTGAAGGTTTTACCCCTATATCAGGAAGCTATCACTTATTACATATTTCTTTTCTGTATATTTTTGGCTGCTTCTACACTAAAATGTGAAGAATTTTTTCATGTTCAGGAATTCACTATCAAGAAAAGTCTTCTTATATAAGGCTTACTTTATAGTAGATGAACACAGCTAACGTTGCTATTCCTTGCAGGACTCTGCATTATTGTTATGATTCCAAAAATATGAAAGATCCAAGGAAATAAAGGGCTACTAGTGAAATTTCCAGCCTTGAAGCATTTCAGTGGAGGGTCCATGATACTACAAAGAATATCATGTCGGGTCCTCCTTGGTGGTGCAACAGGTCAAAGCAGCAGTACTGCAAGCTAGAAGCAGTACTGCAAACTAGCTGCAATTGGTTTGATCCCCAGCCAGGGAGCAGACCACATGGTATGGCAGACCTCTCTTGACCCTCCAGCTACACCACTCAGCAGTGTACTTTGTCAATCTGCCTGTTCTGCTCCCCACTCTGTCCTGTTGAAGCCTCTCGCCACCCCTGAGCCTTTGGCTATAACCCAATTGTGTGTGCATAAATTAATACATCTTTTTTTTTTTTTTTTTAGATTTGTGCATACAGAACTGGGGTACAGGTCAGAGGCTCAAGGGCAGCGAGAGGCTTCACCAGAGACAGAGTGGGGAGCAGAACAGGCAGATTGACGAAGTACACTGCTGAGGGGAGCAGCGGGCAGGTCAGGAGAGGTCTGCCATTCCATGTGGTCACCTCCGGGGCAGGTGGGAATCAAACTCATGCGGAAGTGGCTTTAGCTTCTCAGTGCTGTGCTTTAACTCGCTGCGCCACCAGGGAGGGCCAAATTAATAAATCTTTAAAAAAAAAAAAATCATGTAAGTGTAACCTTGTGACGTAGCTAATTAGTACCTATAATTTCCAAGTGCTGTTTAGTCCTTACCCCCTCCCTTTTTTTTCTACTGGATTCTATTCTACTTTTAATCAGAGAGATGAAGGGCTGGAAGATATAATGCCTTTTTTCTTGATTGTTAGAAAACATGGTTTTAGTGTAAAAAACAAATTAATGATATTGTTCTTTCCCTGTTCAGGACTATGTCTGGCCCTAGGATACAGCACGAGGGTCTGTTTTTATCTGTAGTGGTGAATGCATAGAGGCTTATTACCAAGTTTTCTAATGTTTACTGCTTACAACCACTATACTGCAAGAGGGACCCTATTCTGAATTGAAGTAGAAAATTAAGGGGGAAGGTAAAAGCTTAGACTAATCTTATAAACCACAACTTATCACAGATGCATTAGACCAAATAAGAGGTAAAGAAGAGTGGTATGAAAATAATAAAACTCAAATAATCCTTTCCCTTACTTGCTTACCATTTTGGACTTAAGGCAAAATAGTAAAAGCAAATAATATGGAAAGCATAGACTTAAAAATGAAACCGGCCCTCCCTGGTGGCGCAGCGGGTTGAAGCACAGCACTGAGAATCTAAGACGGCTTCCGCATGAGTTCGACTACCGCCTGCCCCGGAGGTGACCACATGGGGCGCAGCAGACCTCTCCTGACCCGCCCGCTGCTCCCCTCAGCGGTGTACTTCGTCGATCTGCCTGTTCTGCTCCCCACTCTGTCTCTGGTGAAGCCTCTCACCCTCCGCATCTCTGGCCTGTACCCTAGTTCTGTATGCATAAATAAATAAATCTTTAAAAAAAAAAAATGAAACCACTGCAAAGTATGTCAAAATAGCCATTTAGTATATAGGGAATCTTGGTGTTATTTTAAATCAGTCTTAAGAGCTGAATGTTGGGCCACTAATGTTACCGTAATTGTTTAATAAAAATCACTGTGCCTTTAGATAACTAACACTTCTTTAACAGCCCTCTAAGTTCTTTAAATATAGCAAACATCAGTTCAATATTTTCACAATTAGTGAAAAGAAAGCAAAGGGGTTTTGTGAAACACAAAGACAGCATGAGAATATCAGAACAGTAGCTTAGAGATAGTTTTCCTTCTTTATCTATATTTAAATGCAATATGCAATATATTTAGTCACATTTAACATGCTTTGAATGGTCCTGATACTTTGGGGAAAGAAATAAACTAAAATATTTTGTTACATTTTTGTAGGTGGTATCATGGAGGGCACCTTCTATTAGGTGGGTAAGGATGACAGAATAAAAGCAGATGAAGAAAAGCAAGATGCATATTAGAGAAAATTAACTGAACAAAGGTACTCATCAATCAGGGACTCCAATTTTAGACTGATGGGAGAGAGAAGCTAAAGGGCAGAGGGAGGAAGCACATGGGAAATCTAGAGACAAGGGAAAATGATCATTTTGAGCTATTCTTACATTTGCCCTAGTGCCCCCTCCTTCTAAGTGTTTACTGCTATTAATTAAAGTTCCGCTTTCTCTTTTTCACAAAAGTTTCTCTACCTTTAGTGACTTTAAGACTCATGTTTATACTCTTCTTCTACTACTTCTACTACTAATGTTTTCCCTCCACTCTATGCTGCACTCTTGAATATACTGGGTCAGCCAATTCAACGACACCGAGAAAGGGCAATTCTATAAGAGCAAAAAACGTCATGACAATTTCAGCTTATAAGAGTTCATTCAACAAAAATTTGAGCACTCACCAAATGCCAGTCACTAAGATAGGTGCTAGAAATGTAACTGAGTAAGACAAAGTCCTGTTCTTCTGGAGCTTACAATCTAGGGCAGTGGCAGTGGTGGTGGTGCAGAAAGGATAAAAATAAACAGATCAAGTGGTGAAATGTGCAAAGAAGAAAAACAGCAAGTAAGATGGAAAGTAAGTGACGACAGGAAGGATGCCGTTTTATATGGAGCATTAGGGGAAGGCCACCCTGATATATGGAGACTGGCTCACATGAGGAAAGAGCCATACGGCTTTCTGAGAGGACTGCCCGGGTTGGGGAAACAAGTACAAGCATTTATGTGGACTGAGCTTGGGAAGACATGAGGAACAGTAAGGAGATCAGTATGGGTAGAAAACAAGCTCAGAAAGAAAGCCATGGGTCTCCTATGGCATGGTAAGGATTTGGATTTTATTGTGTACAGTGAAGACTATTGGAAGGTTGTTGCAAAGGAATGACATAATCTCACAAGTTTTACAAAGATCATTCTGCTACTTATAGAAAAGAATGTCACAGGGTAAGTAAGAGTGGACTTAAGGGAATCAGTTAGGGGTTACCGGGATAATCCAGCTGGGAGAGCAAGGAGAGTGGCAGAGGTATATAAAGGGTAAGTAAAGTCACACACTGGATATATTTTGAAGATATATAAAAACTAATTACTATAGAATTTCTTGTAGACAAAAGATAAAGGAGTCAAAAATAATGCTAAGAACAACAGAGGAATACTATAATAAAAACCAGTATTTTAAAACTCTGTAGAAGAGTCACTCCATTGCCAAATACTATCTGTGTCTAAAGGACAGATTTTTTTTTAACAGAAAATTTTATTTATATCACATGAGTATTATTATACTTTTGTTACAAAACTAGGCTAACTAGGAAACACAGCAATAGTATTATTTTAAGAAAGGAGACATAATGGCATGATGTCATAAGGATTCTACCTACAAAATTTCATTATTAGTTTAATTCTCTCTGAAACAAATCTTACCAACTTGAAGTTAATCTTAATCATTTGTTTCAGTGCTTTAAATCCCCATTCTCCTTTTTCACCTTCTAGTTCCAAAACCTGGAAAGAGAAATTTTTAGTCAAACTTCGTATTAACTTCTAATCACAACTGTAACTGTTCACAATTAATTTTACATCATAATCATGAGAAACATTTACAAGAATTCTACCACTTACCAATAATGTATTTTTAAAAGACCTAAGAAACAAGACTTAACATGCTTACGTAAAGATAAGTAAACTTAATTTGAAGTTTTAGTCATCAAGAGATTTAAATAAGAACTGTGTCTTGATTATTATAAAGTTCCAGAAATACTTTACAATCTGAATAATGCACTGTAGGCATAACCCAAAAGTAATCATACTTAAGAGTGAAATCACAACTTTGTGATATGCCCCCAAAAGATGGAACAAGACTGTAGGTAAAATTCCTTTTCACCATTATATTGTCCCTCCTACTAGAACTATACTAGGTTTTCAAGACAATGGCCCTGCTCTATGTTTTCCTTGAATTAAAAAGAAACAAAACAAACAGCAGAGAACTTTTGAAATATCTGCTTGTGCTACACAATTTGAATGTATCCAAACATTTTTTTAGATAAAATTACCTGAAACTTATTTGATCTAATATAACATTAAAAAACAAAACAAAACAAAAAACTAAGACACAAAATCAAGCAGGGAAAAAAAAGAACCTTTTGGAAACTGCTTAATGCTGCTTTTGGGTCATCTTCTTTCAATGCTTTGGAATTATAGTACTGATTTTCCAAATCCACATTTGGCTCCGAGTTACTATCTTCAGAGTATTCCTGGAAAGAGAGGTTAAATTGAAAGAAAGGAAACAAGAAAGAAGAAACCTACCCTGCCCTCATTAAAAGTCATTAATATACAAAAATGAAACATCTCTACAAAACAAGCTTGTACACATAGGTGAATAGTGCCACTGATATTTAGCCACTACTTAAAAACAAGGGAATGGGGGAGGGGGTGTCAAAATCAAGTGACATAGTAGTGGTAGAATAGAACCATTCCATTCTTTCAGATCAAAATTATAATTTCCATAGCACCTAAGCAAATTCTGAATGCCAAAAACTACTATTGGTTAATAACCCCCAGTTCTGTAATGGTTAACCTTTCATTTGGTCACTGAATCTGAGAAAAATCTAATGTGAACGCTAATCACTCATCTTTAGTGTCATAATAATTTTCTCTACTTCGTAGGTGTAAATTTCATTATTTTCACAGTTTACCTACCTAAGATGGAAATTTCGATATGTAGGAAAATCTGTTTTAAATGCAATTGTGTAATTATAGTACTGAATTTTAGTACAGTACAGTTGTTATATCAATGTAATTTAACTAACTTTGTAACAAAGCAAAATAAGTGAATGTAAGTGAATTTATTTAGTACCTAATAAAGCAGAAAACAAAACTGGAATAAAGCTACAACTTTGTGCAGTAATAGAAACAAGAGTTAAAATAATTTCAAACATGGATTATAGTGAAAATTATTATTTTAGTAACACAAGATTATTTCTCCAGCTATCAGTCATCACAAAGCACAAGTAAATATCAAATTAAGAAAAATACCTGGAAGTAAACACAAAAAGGTTAGAACAATATAACAAGATAATTTCTACATTCAATATAGTTGATACCATTTTTTAGATATTTATGAAAAATTGTTAACATTTCATAAAGGCACAAGAATTAAGAAAGGCTTATATAGTACCAGAGAACTAAAAAATACATAAACATGAGATGAATTTTTGCTGTGATTAGTAGATGGAAGGAGATATTTGATGTCAATATAAAACCAGTTTTATCTAATGACATCGGCTTTGTACTGTGCGCCCTCTGGCGGATAATTATTTCCTGTGTAAGAACATGAAGTGCTGAGACTGTCTCAGATTTAAGATCAATAATTTAGTAATGTTTATCATATGAAAATCTCCTGGAACACTTACTGTTCTAAGATAATATTCTAAGTAGTAAACAAATTTCCATACTCATTCTTTCACTTCTTAACCTTGTAATCCAGGTTTGACTACAATGAAACTGATGAAACAACAACAACAAAAAGAATAAAAAGGCAACTGTATCTTAAAATGAAGCTTTGACAGTAATGGCTTCTCAGGCTCATTTTGAAAGATACGTCAGTTTGCCTGCTAGACAAAATGGAAAAGGGAGAACAGAATAGCAGCCCCCCCCCAAAATTAAATTAAATTAAAAAAACAGCATAAACAAGAGAACTAAACAAAGAAGTAAAGGCAGTCATTTTATTGTACATAAAAACATTATTGATTCTACCTTTCACATAACTCAAATGCATCCACTTTCCACCCCATTGCCACCATCATTGTCTACCAAGCCAGTTTTTCTTTCCAAACTATAAGTACCTTCTCATTACCACTTTTAATCTTTATATTCCAAACATTCTTATAGTAAATGCAAGTATAACCTTCATAAAATAAGAATTATATCTTATTCTTCTTTTCAAAAATCAAGTTCAAATATCATCAGCTCTGACTCTGGAGTGTATATCCAACCATATTTCTATCAAGTTCTCCCCATTCGCTTGCAGCAGCCATGCTGATCTGAACTTCCAAGTGATCAAATCTGTGCCCACCTTTACATGACATTCCTTTCCCTTCATTTTCCATCTTCATCTGGTTAACTATTTAAAATCATTATAAACTTAAGTGTCACCAGTAAAGAATCACAGTCATAAAACTTTGGAAGTTAGTTCTTCTCTACTTAACTGTTCAATAGCAGACAGGACTAGCTAGATGAACCAGGAAATTACTTTCCTACAATCCCAACCTTTAGGATGTACCCCTGGTCTGAAAATACATATTTTTGATTTACAGTTACCACAAAGTCTAAGAATCTGCACTCTTCTTCAAAGTCCATTTACTTTTGGATTCTTTATCCATAACAAATCAGAAAAAAGAAGAGGGAAGTAGAAGCTAACAGACACACAAGCTGATAGTAGGACATGGAATGCCAGGAAAGAAGAAACTAAAATTACTATTTTGAGTTAAAAATATTGATTTCATGGCCCTTTCTGGTGGCACAGCAGGTTAAGGCACAGCACTAAGAAGCTAAAGCCACTTCAACATGAGTTTGATCCCAGCCCCCGAGCTGACACACATGGCGTGGCAGACCTCTCCTGACCCCCCTGATGCTCCCCTCAGCATGAGTGTACTTCGTCTATTGGCCTGTTCTGCACCCCACTCTGTCTCTGGTGAATTCTCTCACCGCCCCTGCACCTCTGGCCTGAACCTCAGCTCTGTATGCATAAATAAATATTTAAAATATATATACATATTGATTTTAATTAAACTGGAAATTAATGAACTTTTATAATATTGTTGAAGACAAGAACCTTTCTATTTCCTACCATGTCCAATTCAATCACTGAGTCCCACACAAGAGAAGACTAGCTACCTGCAGCTTCTATGGGATATGACTGGTTACAGATTATTCAAAAAATTTAGATGTCATAATTCCCTAAGAGCACAATGATGACCAAGGTAAGACTTCATCTAGCCTCAAGTATTTTATCAATTTTTTTCTTTTGGTTTTTCATATTATATGGACTAAGTGGAATGCATAATTTTCCCCCTATAATGGCAACTCAATTCTTAAAATGTTGCTGATAATAACTTAAGAACTGGCACAATTGATATGTTACTCAATGGTTTCATATTGTTATGCAGTCCCTAGTTAAGACCTGCAACAATATTCCTATTGGTTTGAACCAGCCTCCATGACATCATTAACCAACCAATCATTGCAGCCTAGCAAATCAAATTATCATCACAAACTGTGTTCTACAGCAAACTATTATTCACTTATTATAGGCATAATTTATTTTTTAAACTGGTATTTTGAAAAGTCATCAGAACAACTTTGTTCAAATATTATTTACTCTCAATGGTAATCTTTGGTGTGTACCAGCAATTAACTGTTGCTCAAACAAATGCAAATTAAGTCCTTCTTCCTCAAATTACTCATGGTCAGAGACAAATAAAAAAGAAACAGGACCTACTTGGTGGCCTAGGGGTTAAGTCTCAGAGCTATCACTACAGCCAGAGTCAGATCCCTAGCCATGGAGCTAACCCACATATAATACAGCAGACCTCTCCAGTCTTGCCCCTGGTTCCCCCTAGCAGTGTATTTCAATAAAAGAACTTGTCCTGCCCCCCATTCTAGCTCTGGTGAATCTTTTCACGCCTCACACCTCTGACCTACACCAGTTTCTCTAGGCAACCCTCCCCCCCCCCAAAGAAAATTAAACAGCAATACAATAAAAGCACCAGTAGGTAGGTATATTCTAGGTACAGAGGCAGCACAAAAAAAGGAGTAATCAACTACATTTGAATTACACAGGATGGGAAAGTTACCTGAACTCTGTCTACTTAGTTCTATTAACCAGAACTACTTTTAGCATCAACCAACAGAAGTTGAAGGGACCACACAAGTCCATGTGTACAAAGACATGGAATCTTGAAATAGCACTGTCTATGTGGAATGTGGAAGAACTATGAATAATTTCGTCCAAAGCAAAAGATGTGGGTAAAGGGTTGATAAGATGCTGTTACCAGAGACAGGAACAGGACTAGAAGTCTAGTAAGGAGTTTAGATCAAACAGAACCATTTAAAGATTTTACCAGGAAAAAATCCTATTTGTGTTTCAGTAAGAGCAGTGAAATAGCCCACTGGATAATCTTCAGCACTCTCACAAAGATATAATGAAGTCTAGATTCCAAGTAGTAAGAAATAAATAGGATAAATAAAAAATGTCAACTGATGTTCAAGGTATAAGGTAAGAAGGGCCCATCACATGGGCACAAGATAAAGGGAAATAAAGTTATCTTTAATAGTTACTGATGGCTTGGTTACACACAGTGCCACTAGTCAGAGTAGGGGTTAACAGGAACAGTAATAAATATTGCTGTCCTATATTCTGTATATCAAGAGAATAGATTAATTTGCAAAAGCTTAATAAGTTTTTAAAAAGAGAAACTGAAATTTTAATAAGTAAAATAGTGCTTTAAAAGCAAAGATTTCAGCAGGAAATAAAAAAAAGAAACAAAGACTTGAACATTAAATAAGCACTTGAACAAGGGATTAAAAGATAGTGAAGTTCATAACACTTCCACCTGTATATGTGTATATATAAAATAACTCATAACCTGATATCTCTCTTCAAAGTGACCTGTGATCGATCTAAACTACCCACATCTATTCTTCTTTTCCCAAATATGCCACACAATTTAAAATCTTTGCTTGGCATAAACTGTTCTCTCTTCTAGTAATTATCCCCTCCTAACAAACTTTTCTTTTGTGATGTTCCCCTGCCCTAATCCTCCGGGAAATGTATTCACCAGGACTCACCTAGTGCTTCTTTCTCCAACTCTTAGCAAAATAAATTTTCTTAGTTATGCTTCTACCTGACATGCATCTCTACAACATGGAGCTTAGTGTGAATGTTGTTCCCACTTTCCCCCAATTACCAAACAAGGATGTTTTCAGAGGCAGGAACTTTCTCACCATCTTGGTCTCTTGGTAATAGACCAAAGCCTGGTCTATTACAAAATACTCAGTAACCGTTTAATTGAAATAAAAAGTGAGTGAATGTTCCAAAATAACACACTACTCACTAGCTGGGGGGCCAACTTTGATTCTGGATCGGGAGGTATTCACTGCTGAACAGGGTCAGCTTCATAGTTAACTATTTATTCACAAGTCTGTGGCTAATAGAAGTCTTAAGAAGTATGCTCCAGGTAAATGATGTTTACTGAATCTTGATTTATACAGCTATACCAGATGCTGGGCACACAAAGACTTAAGGGGCAAAATCCCATTATCGGTAAGAGCTAGTTAAAATACAAAGCCTAGGGAGCCATTTGTAGTTTAGCCTTTCATGAAATCATTAAAACTTTTAGAAAGTTCTCTACTAACTGTTCCTAGTTTAAATTGGTATGGTATAAATTGAAACATTCTGTTATTTGTCCTAACCTTTTAGTCTTCAACTAATATCTCCCAGAGAGATACCATCAAAGTCATTAGACACGAGCTCTTGTTTTGATTCTCCCATTAAAATGTCATGTGGATTTTAAGTTCTTCTCTGTCAAAAATGGTCCTTGAACCCCACAAAAGTTTCAAATTCTCACTGAGGCCTATGTGTTGTTTGTGATTCAACTCAGTTCAGTTCACTCTGTTGCATATATTCACAGCTTACAGATTTAAGAGAGGGGTGAAAAGTCTCAAATTAATTTTGTTTTTAGCACTTAAGAGCTGATTCCCATTATCATTTAGTATCCTTATTTAAACCTCTAGATTTCATTCTACAGTGCCCACAAGAAATGTTTACTAAAATACACCAAAACTTGCATTTCAAACCATTTTCTTTTAATTAGTAACTTTAGAAGATAGTGAAATCATCCCATATCATACTGATATGACACATTAAGTAATGCTTCCGATAGTCTTAAGAAAACTAGCTTCATTAGTTAAATGTTTCTAACCTAAAACAGCACTATCCAGTTTGACAGCCCAAATCTGACCTCTACAAAAAGGACAATTCTTAATAGAAAAATAGCTCAAATCCTTATTAATAGAGACCTTGCTAAATAAAACATGACATATCCACAGTCAATGCAGCTGTAAAAATGAGCAAGATCTTTACATACTTCTATGTAACATCTCAAACAAATTAAGCACAGTGTAGAACTATACACATAAACATATATAAAAATTTACATATATCCTGGTTTTTTAAAAGAAGGGGGATAAAAATGTGTATTTGGTTATCTATGGGGAACAGGAAATGAAGAACAACAATGGAAGGTAAAACAGTTTTTTATATATATATTTTTGAGCATGTGCATATTATTTTTAAAAGTTAGGTTAAATTAAATAAACATACTTCAGGTTCTGAAGACAATTTTGTAAGAGGAGCTCTGAAAAAAATCTGCACAGTGACAAAATCAGTGTTTGACCTCCCAAGAGCCAAGTAAGATTTTGTTGCTCATTTGTACTCTGTAACTCCCTGAAATAAAATAACAGTTCACTATGAAAGGTTTGCAGAACATAAACAAATTTTAATTTTCCAGATACTCAAATTTTCCAGACATTTTTATTGCATTTCTCCTACCCAAGAAATTATTTTATTCCCATCCAGTAACATTAGAATACAGATTACATATTTGTAAGTGGATGCCTGGTCACTGTGATAGCAAGAGCAATGATCCTTCCTCTCCTAGCTGAAGGGTTTCAATTATTGTGTCCCTCCCACAGAAGAGGGCCAGCCACAGGCCACACAGATCTGAGCTAAGTCAATCAAAGTACTTACAGAGGGTTTCCCAGCCAGAGCTAAGGAAGACTCTCATGCCTTTGGGGTTATAACAGTAGAAAGATACCGAGTTACATTAGTGATGCAACTGAGGGCAATTAAAACAATAAGTAAGGAAAGCAAGGCAGGATGAGAAATACAGAAAAAAAATCTAAATCTGTAAAACTTCAAAGGATTAAGACATTTTCTCATGAGGCCAAGCATATTTAATGTTTTTATTTGTTTCTTCTTTTTAAATCAAATTTGCTCTCTCCTTTCTTTTACCACTTGCTCAGAAGTTATTCTTTAGTTTCCAGGATTTAAAAACAGCATAGATTTAGAAACAAATTTTTTTTTTTTTACCTTTTCTGGTTGTATCCTACCTATTTCCATTAGATGGTTAAGAACAAAGTTTTTAGGACATTAAAATTTATCATGGACAGCCTATAAAAGAATATTATCTATGGGCAAAAAAAAAAGTTATGCTGAATATTATCTATGGGCAAAAATTTATCAAGGACAGCCTATAAAAGTTATGCTGAATATCATCTATGGTTCTAGTTAACATTTTGACTAAAAGGAGGCATGACAACCTTCCTAAAACGTAATACACTTTATAATTAAAAAAAAAGAGAAATTTCCTTAAACTAGCACTCTTTGAATCCCGAGAAATAAACAAAAAGATATAGACAAATAACTATTTAAAGATACAACACTTCTTAAAACAAAACACAACACTTCTCTTTTGGCAATATGAAGACATGAAATGGCAACCAACTTCCCCCCTTTTTAAAACATAATGATTTAAGGAAATTGAGGAAATAAAAAAATTACTAAATAAATGTTAGGCAAACAAAAACGTTAAATTATTATTAGAACATAAAAGCCTTCACCATTTTACATCTGATTGGGAACTCAGAATGCTATCTACCTAACAGAGATATAGGGGGTAAGTAAGACTAAAAGGGATGTGGGGGGGGGGGGATAATTAAATCATGTTGTTGAACACAATCTTAGTTTTGACTAAGAAATAAAAAAAGAATACAGAAATAAAAAAAAGAATACAGTACAACTATATATTGTACATGCAGGATAGGCAGGACCTCACAGGCTGGAGAAACAGCCAACCTAAACAATTAATTAAAATTCTTGAAAATATTTATCATTTCATGGGACACTGAGATTCTCATTGCTATTCCTATGTTACTTTCTAAATGATCATCTTCCAGTTAATCATTGTGCTAATAAATCATGTATTCAATAAGCTATCTCTTAAGAGAAGCAGAAACATTTAAAAACGTGAACAGAGTTAAAAGAAATGCTTCCATAGTTATAAAAACAACTTTATTAATAGATAATAAAAATGCAAAACTACCCCAAGTTACACATCACTAACTGAAGGGTCTACCTTCAAATGGCATGATATGCACAAAACAAACTGCAAGGCAAAAATCCTTATTAACAAAACTTTATATTTAACTTTAAGAATCATCAAAACATCTACTCTGATTTGTAGCAAGCATTTCTCTCACCCTTTTGTAAGTGGTATCTTCGTTTAAAACAGAAAGATGAATTCGAGATGAGTATACAAAGGAATTATGTACTAATTCAAAATGTCATTCATTTAAAAATTTTTTTTTAAATTTACTTATGCATATAAGAAATGGGATCTAGGTCAGAGGTGGGGAGGTGGTGGTGGTGAGAGCTTTCACCAGAGACAGAGGGGGGAGCAGAACAGGTGGATCTACTAAAATACACTGCTGAGTGGAGCAATAGGGGAGACAGGAGAGATCTGCTGCACCACGTGGGTCAGCTCCCTGGGTAGGGATGGGACTCATACAGCAGTGGCTGGTGGTAGCTTGATAGCGCTGGGACTATAAGCCTGCACCACGGGGGAGACCCTAAAATGGCATTAAATTAATATCTCTAAAATACTTAGCATTTAAAATATAAGCTATCCAGTCAGTCTTCCCCAAGCACTTACTTTACAACTTTATAATACAGCATCACCATAATAAACAAGAACCATGCCCAAAACATCAGCAAAATAAAGTTAATGCTAATTTTTGATCCAAGTTAAGTGTTCTTAATTCCTACACTGATAACTTTTTTTAATATCTACCGGAAATACAGTGAATTTAGTTCCCCTATCCACAGTAAATGCCTTCATAAGTTAAACCTCTTTAAAAATCACCATTCAGCTACAAATCTTGGTTTATTTCTACACTGTTGATATTTTTAACTTTGAATACTGCTAAATTTGTAAGCCAAGAAAGTCATTCAGTCAATATCCTAATTATACTCCCTCCCCAAACAATTATCAAAACCTCCTTCCCAGTTTTCCTCTATAAGTAACACAATTTAACAACCGTTTCGCAGTTATACTTGCTCAGAATTCTCCACTGCATCTTCACCTTAACATCCAAACGGACCATGGGCAAGACTAATTAAGCTATGCTTCCAGGAGACGCAAAAGTGGGTTTTAGCGTGCAGGCTTAGGGGCAGACAGGCCCCCCAATTTACAGACCCTTCTTCTAGCATTTTGCACCCGCTAAATTTAAGTGTGAGGAAGAGGGGGGCCGGGAAAGATTGGCCCGAAAGGGCAGCGCCGGGGCCTAGACCGCTGCACGGTCCCCGAAGCGGTTCGCGCGGCGGGGAAGAGGTAGGATACACCTCGAACCGGACGCCAGGAGCCAGAGATGTCCGCGTAAACCAAAACACGCAATCACTGGGGTCCCCTCCACTGTCTTTTTTACTACCCCCTCCCCCAGGCTAGTAAAGCAGGGCCCGGGCCCGGTGCGGGAAAGGGGAGGAGGTAAACCCGTCCTGTCACTGCACCGGGAAAGGCTGGAAGGAGCACACATTCTACGGGGAGAGCCCGCTGCTTCTCCGACCCCGACCCTAAAATCAGACACCATCTCCAGCCCTAGAGTCCCATCCCCTGCGTCTCACCAGGTCGTAGTCCTCCTCATCATCGCACATGAAATCATCCTCCATGTCAGACATCTTGGCTGGGAGGGGGAGGGGGGAGGAGAAATTGGAGACAACCTCCTCCCACAATTCTCCGCGGCTCAGAGGCGTCACTCCCAGCTTCTCCTAGTCTTTCCGTCGCTCTTAGAGGAGCTGAATGTTTCCTTCCGGAACAAATTTTCTCGGCCTCGAGAGGATTCACTACGACGCCAAAAGGCAGTGTACCATTTCTCTTTCCTCCGAGGCGTTTGGTGCCTTAGCAACTCAACCTAGCAACGGGGAAATTGTCGAGTGCTGTGGATCTCTGCTGAAGGGCCTTGGAAACCTTACGCGGAACATTAATTTCCAGCTTCCTGGGCAAGGGAACAGTCTCCTCCTTTGCCTGGGACTCTGGATCATCTCATTCTGGTGAAAGTAAAGTACAATCTAGGACCAGAAGCCTTTCACGGAGAAAAGGCTGACATGCCCTTCCTATGTGACAGGTAGTATTGTTTCTGCCATCATTATCTAGGGGCTTTTAGCTCACACATTGTGGTGGGTTTTGCTGTGATGTTTGGAAAACTATTCAGCAGCAGCTTACACGTAATGTTTGTTATCTTTGTAGATGGCAAAAACGATTCTGTGGATATTCCACCTAGCTAAATCAATTAAGGAGCCTGATCTTATCTATCAGTTGTTCATTGCATTATAAACTGGCATAGTATAAAAAATAAAATTTCAGATTCCTTTTGCACCTAGTTACGTAATGTCATTGGACAGTATGCAGTATATTCTCGATATTGTTTAGTAGTTGTGTGATAATCCCTCCGCATAATAATTAAACACGCGTTATATATTTAGGTTGTTGCCAGAAATCACACTATTTTAAATATGCAGTGATTACCTTTCTCACCATTTTTATAGGAGAAAAACCCAAGAAATGGAAATACAGCTTAAATTTTTAGTAGTCATTTGGATTGGTACCGTTTTGAACATAGTTCTTAAACATCATATTTGTAATACTGTGTACTTATAAACAGTTTCCAAAATAGTTTTATTTTTCCTCTCAACTTTTTGTTATGAGAACTTTCAGACAGACACATAGTGGAATAGTTGTCCAGTAAACATATACCCACTAAATTTTATTCGTTTCTGTAAGAATTGCCTGAATCATGTGAGAATAAAATGAAGATATAATAGACACATCACTCCTCTTTGCAGCTACATATGTTACCTAAAGATATTCACAACATCATCATTACAAAATATCATTCCTTGATACATATCATATCCAGTTCTAACCTTGGGAAAAAATCTCCTTTATAAATGGGGTGTCTACACATTGCAGTCACTTTGGACAGCCCTGGTTTACTACTATTGTCCCAGAATAATGATCAGCACCCATCATCAGGTTTGGACAATAAGTTGCATGGTTACCTGAAATCCATACTTCTTCAAAAACAGAAAATAGAATTCCAAAGAGGTTTAACTGCTCAGAGTAATCAGAGTACACAATTTAAGGCTTCTTTTATTTTGTGTCATCATTTTGAAAATTATCTGTTTATATGTAATATTGCTGAGTGTTTTCATTGTGGGTATACCATAACTTATCTATTCACCTGTTGATGGATATTTGAAGGTCTTTTTCATCCCAGTTTTTGGCTAATACATACAAAACTTAAAACTGTACATCGGTGTACAGGCTTTTATGTGAACATGTCTTATTTCTCTTCAGTGATGTGAACAGATGCTAAAGCTGTCTCCTCATTATCCATGCTCTTGGATAATGGTTTACTCTTTAAGTGTGGGTGGACTCTTATCACTTGCTTCCCTTCTCTCCCAAACTTTATTGAAGCATATTAATGAATGATGTATTTTGCTTCTAATCAGTAATGATATAGCAAAGGTGATGTATCTGGTTATGTGCATATGATTACGTTATACAAGAATGTGAATCCATATTGCTAGGAGAGACTATCTCTCTTGCTGACTTTGACAATGCAAGTGTCCATGGAGAAAAAACAGGAGACTGAGGATGACACCTGACCAGCAACCAACAAGGAACTGTGGCTTTCAGTCTGACAACATACAAAGAGCTGAATGCTTTTCATAGCCACATGATCTTGAAGAGGTATCCTCCCCCAGTTCAGCCCACGATAAGAATTTGTGAGAGCTCAAAGCAAAGAACCCAGCCAGACAATGCTTACACTCCTGAAACACATAAAGTGAGGTAATCAATGGTTGTTTTATACTAAGTTTATGGAAATATTGCTATATGAATGCCAGTAAATACTTAGTAATAGTATGAGTGATCATATAATGTATGTTTCACTTTTTAGGAATTTTTCAAATTGTTTTTGAACATGCTTTTGCTATTTTGTATATTCACAATCAGCGTATAAAAGTTCTAGTTGCACCAAATCCTTGCCAACACATAAGTGTGCTCAGTTGTTTTAAATTTGGCAACTCTAACTGGAATGTATAGTAGTATATCATTGTAACTTTAATTTGCACTTAATGATAAATGCTGAACATTTTCCATGCATTTATTTGTCATCCACATATCTTCTTTGGTGAAATCACTTCAATTCTTTTATCCATTTTTAAGTTGGGTATTTGTTTTATTACCATTGTTTTATAAGGTTTCTTTATGCTTTTTGTGTTGTATTTAAGGAGTTGTCCCACAATAGGGCACTAGACTTTTATTTTTTCCTAGAAGTTTCATATAATATATAATATCAGTTCTTAAATTTCAGCCTATTATCCTTTTCAAGTTTAATTTTGTATATAGTGTAAAGTATATGTTCAAAATTATTCTTTTTTCTTAGGCTATCAAATTTTTCCAGCATATTAAAAAGGTGACATTTTCCCTACTAAGTTGTCGTAGTACTTTTGTCAAAAATTGATTATTTAATTCCTAACATAATCTGGCCCTATTAAAGTATATTTTCTTTTTTTAAAAAAAGATTTTTTACTTATTTATTCACATCGAACTGGGGTACAGGCCAGAGATGCGGAGGGTGAGAGGATTCACCAGAGACAGAGCAGGGAGCACAACAAGCAGGTAGATGAAGTACACTGCTGAAGGGAGCAGCTGGTGGGTCAGGAGAGGTCTGCCTCGCCATGTGGATCTCCTCCGGGGCAGGCAGGAATGGAACTCAGCGGAAGTGACTTTAGCTTCTTAGTGCAGCGCTTTAACCCGCTGAGCCACCAGGGAGGGCCCTAAAGTATATTTTCAATAATTTTATGTTACCTTGTGATGTAAAATACTTATGAATATTTTGCATTTATTAAACTCGAAGCCTCTTGAGGACCCAACTCTTACTTCTGAATCCCCTAAAGCTCAGTGTGTTTCTTGCCTGTAGAAAATTCTCCGTGAAAATGCAATGTGTTATAAATTTTAACATACATGATGCCTTAGTGCCCTGGATTGAAATATATATTTACTTACATCCTATCGGATTGATTATCTTAAAAAAAAAATACTTTTGTTATATTTATTTTAAAAAACTAAAAATACTATTAGAAAGGCAGAGAATAAGAACTGTTTTTGTATTTCTGAATAGGATCCTATGATTACCTTGTGAACAAAAGCAGCACAGTTCTCAACAGAAAATTAACAATTTGTGCCTAGAAATGCTGTAGCTGCACCCCCTTTGCAATTCCCCATGGAACCACCTTTTATTATGGAGACCTGCTGTTTAACACAAAGCCTTCTACTATTTACTAGAAGTTGCTTCAGCTTTCAGAGACTCATGTTTTCCTCTTTTGACTCCTTTTAAGCCAAAAATTTTCCTCATCTCCCCAGTTTTTGCCTACTTGTCAGAATATGTACCTTTTTTTCTATCTGTCTGTTGTCCCCACCCTTAATTAAGGACTTAGTTTGAGGCCTCAGGGTTCTAGATTCTGGATGAATCATTAGGATTACTGCTGTATTCTGACTTAGATTTACTTTTATGGGTTGAACTGAAAATAAAAATATTTAAAACCTTTTTCTCTCTAGAATGCAAAACACTTGAATGTTATAGGTATTTTTGGGTTGCTTTTAATATCCCAATTGTTTTCATAGAAAAATAAATACTTGAATTATGCTGATCATTTACAAATGTATTATAAATAAAGAAAAAATTGCTTATGATAATAATCATAACTCCTTTTTGAGATGCACAATATTAGATAATTATGAAAAAATCAGATGAAATAAGTACTGTCATATTTGAACATCCTTGGTACTATAGTTAATTTTTAGGTCAAGAAAATAAAAAGAAACAACATATAGTGTTAAATTTGGGCAAGTTATCTGCATTTAGTCAGTCTAATGTATACTATAAGCTTGAAATACAAACTTCTATTTTCAAAATCAAGTTAATATAAATTTTGGCTTATCTGGTTTTGTTTTATTGATATATGCAGAGTTTGAATTAATGTTTTATAACTAATTCATTTATTTACATTTTAATTTTCTATCATAAGAGCAAGAATTTTTAACATTTATTTTTGTATCCCTAGCATGTTTCCTGAATTTGTCTGTAAGCTACTTTACTAAGGTCTCATCAAATGTAACACACTCAGAAGTAAAATAATCTCTGGGCTAGAAATCTAGGGATCTGGATTTTAATTCTGATCTGTTCTACTTTGGGCCAGTAATTTCAAAAGGGGCAGTTTTGAAATGCATCCATGATCCAATTAACATAGCCATCAGGGTTCATTAAGCAGAGTTAATAGTTGTTCATCAAATACACTAGGAAATATTCTTTTATGAAAAAATTTTCAGCCATTGTTCATTTCTTTATACTATTAACCATAAGTTTGTTTGATACTTGCATTTGAAAAACCAACATTTTCAAAGCTTTAAAATTTAGATTTTTAGTGACCATAAAATGACATATTAGAACATATCATATTTACTCATGCTCCCCAAAACTCCACATCTTCTTACATAGATTTTCTCCCCTATTTAAAACTAGAGAAGAGGCAATGGTGTTTCTCCTTATTAAAGATCTCACAAAAAGCATCATACATGGATTTATTGGAATTCAAATATATATATATTGCATATATAAATATATATAAACATACACACATATTATTGTTTCATTTGAAAGTGATGAGGGATTGAAATAATAGTGAGAAAATAATCCTAAACCAAGTAAACTTTGTTTCCATCAAGTTCCATTTGCAGTGGGCAATAATCCAAGAGCATGCCAAAGAGCAGCAACCTTTTGATATACTGTCAGTTCACACTTTGCTTTAATTTCCCCGTTCTCTTCCCCAACATATACATACAGAAATTCTGGAGTGGCAATTTATTGAATCTCTTTGAGTTATGTTACTAGTGTGTTGGGTTCATTGGCCCATACTTCCTCAATTAGAAATCTTGGAAAAGTGTGTTGCTAACTGATTTAATCTAGGTTTAGTGTCAGTATTCAGAGGTACAAAGTGCATTCGATATAGTTAATAGACCTGAATTTTTTTTTAAAAGATTTTATTTATTTGTGCATAC